TTCTGGTTAATAGCTCTGGTGCTGCTATTATGACCGTTCTGCGTGCGATCGGTGTCTATGGAGGCAGTACTAGCCTCGTTAGTAAGCATGTTCTATTTTACTTTGGCGCCGATTGTGGTACTCGTTCAAGCTTAGGACATAGTCCATCTGCATACTCATTGTACTCCCCACGTAGATATTACGTGCTTCTATTCACGATATCAATTGAAAACTTCAGTGAACCACATTTCAGGGTCAAGTAGTTTGCTTTATGGACCGTCCTCTCTGTTAGAGGCTTCGTAAAGACTGTCTTTAGCCTCTCCTTGTTTAATTCTATAAACTAAAATAACCAGTCCGTGACCGATCTCGTGTAATATTAAACAAAATTTGAAAATCCGTTTTAGATAAGGAATAAGTACTTAAGTGAAATTTTAATATTTTTATCTTTAGACATAATCGCAAGAAATTTCAGACACACAAAAGGGTGGGGTATTAAACGAACGTTTTTCCCTCCTCCGGAAAAACCCTCACTCGATAAAATAGACCGTTTAAGTAGTGTTCATTTTCTCTACAGATTTTCAATCTTTCTATTTTCTACACATTTTGTGGAAAACATAGGCAAGCATGTTCTTCCTTGCATTCATTTACTAGAAGATCATGCCCTCAAACTTTTCATTCGAACAAAGGGTATCCTTCGATTTAAAAAAATTCTATTTTGAATTATTTTAAATTGTACGATATCTACTCAATCGTATGTTATTAGAATTATCCTGCATATGGTATAGTCCACGTCCATTGAAAATAGTTTGAACAATATAAATGTTATTTTCTTAATGATATACGGGAATGTATGAGAGAGAGAGAGAGAAATATGCTTTATTTTGAAGGCAAATATCCAAAATGTTCAGCAAATATATGATATTCTTTGAGCGGAAGGCATATATCTTGTAGACTAAAAAGCCTCAACATAAATGCAAAGGCAGATCGAACTCTAAATGGTTCGAGAATTGGACAATTTTTATAAAACCTAAGCGTGCCCTTTCCTTAAGTATAAAATTTGGAGGGCGTGCTTTGCTATTTAAGGAGTACCAGAAAGAATATTTTTTGCTTTTTCGTTGATGAATAATCGCCGATCGCTAATGGATTCAGTCGTCCCGTTCTGCCTTAGGGCTAACTCTAGAGTCGCGCCAACATTCGCACAGCGGCTCAATGGTTAGAACGCTGGACTTCTGATCAACAGGTCGCGGGTTTGGCCCTGGGGTTGGGTAATGAGCCAGAAACAGTCATTCCAACGTCCCTTGTCTTTCCCGGCAATGCACATTTTAACTTATATTTTTTTTGAAATACAGAATGGCGAGTGCTGCAAGAAACATTTCGCAATTTGAAAAAGACCGGTAATCACTGGCAAACCAACATTGAGTGCGGTTGCAATACTGTTTATCATGCAGTCCAATTTCAATTCGTTTCAGTCACGCTAGGATGCCAACTCTGTGATGAGCCTCTTTCGGACCGCTGCGAAAAAGTTGATTCTATAAAAATGGCTACTTAAATAGTATGT